GATTTGATTCGTGGCTTAAAGTCTCATTTGAGTTGTTCTTTTTAATTCCAAATCCCTGTTAAAAATTAACTTCATTGTTTCAAACAATATAACAAACACTTTCATAATTTAACAACTTTGTACAAATACATATAGAAGCTTTATAGCTTTCGGCTCTATAATCCTTTTTCAGTCATGCTTCTAATTATTGTAAATGTATTGTTAACATGTTATATTCATTATTTGAGTTAAACCACAAAAAAGAATGTTTAAACAAATCAGACTTCTTTGTATTGTCGAGAGAATAGCAGAAACAAATTCGTACGCAAATCTTTTCGTACCATCCATGAAAACTAAAAAACAGGGGACAATCTGCCCCTTTTACCATCTGCGGCTGGGGGGTTAAAAAGGGCAGATAATTAAGCAGAAACGGTTTAAAGGATAGTAAGCCCCTTAGAATTGCATTTCTTCATTTCAATTTTGATAGTTAACAAGTATCCCAAGTTTAAAGTGAATATCTTTGATACTTTTTGAGAAAAATGTTAACCAAGAAATTCAAAAGGGACATACTTGAGGAAAAACAAATCATAAAGTTATCTGTCCTTTGAAGTGCATTCCAGTTTAAAATCTGAACAAGTATTACATACACGTTTGAAGCGATTTAACTTTGACAGTTTTTGAGAAATTGACCTAAGAAGAAACAAGAAGCGCCGCAATGCGACAAAAACAAGGCATCGTGATCACAAAGATTTAAGGATCAGGATCAAGCTCAGGATGAAATTTAAAAACTCTAATATTCTTTATTGTTTATCCTCATAGATTAAATATCTTTTATTAATTTGATAAAACTGAACTTGCAATAGCAAGATTATGAAACTTTAGAATAAATTTATCGTTATTTTTAGTTTAAATAATATTCTATTTATAAGTATTACATTTACATGATAATTGACAAATAATAAATAGTACGGATTGAGTAGTAAGCTTGAAAGCTTTTTTAGAAACTCTTTCCGTTATCGTTATTTTTGCATGATATGGGCATTTTACAGTTGATCCGAATATTGATCCTGGTCGTATAATTGATCCTTATTTTGATCCGAATATTTTTGTATTTGTTTTGTTATTTGTTGATTTTTTTACCAAAATAATTTGGTTTGTTTGCAAATCAGCAATATTTTTTTTATTTTTTACTTTTTGAATATTTACCATTTAATTCTAGCAAAACACGATTAATTTTAGTAGCATAAAACAATGAAAATAAAATCAGGATTTCTGAATCCTTATCCTAATTTTTTCTTAGTGAACACGGGGCCAGGTTTTCAAGGACCAAGTATTAATGTGACAGGAATTAGGAATGAAATATGACAGTGAAGAAAGAATGATGCTGATATTTGTACTAACACAGAAAGTTGGTTTCAATAGTTCAAAATAAAAATATGCCAGATACATGAGTAGCAATGCCATGCTGTATTGTAATGTAAGCTACATACATGCTTAGTTAAGTATCATTAGGTCAAAGTGTACTGAAGTAATTGAGAAGAAGCAAAAAATTCTATTGTAAGCAAGTAAACTTGACCTTAATCTCAAATATCTTAGTAGACATCTCAAGCTCTTTCTTAATATAAGCTACCCACACAGCAAGTTTTGTGTCAATAGGTCAATTGGTCAAAGCAAATTCAAAAATTCAAGTTATTACGTGAAAACTGATTTTTTAACAGTGACCTTAACCTTTTTCACAGGCACCTATGTAGCAATCCAACGTTACAATTTGACTTCAGCTACCCACATACTAAATTTGATGTCAATAGGTCTAAGCAAACTCAAGTGATTTTGCGAGACTGAATTTCTATTTTGGCAACAGTGACATTGACCTTGATCACAGTCATCTGGTTAGCAATCCCAAGCTGCCTCTTGACATAAGCTATGGATACACCAAGCTTAGCGTCAATAGGCCGAGGCAAACTCAAGTTATTGAGCGGAATCAAAATTTCTATTTTAGCAACATTGTCCTTGACCTTATTCACAGAACCCTGGGTAGCAGGTAGCGGGGGCGGGTTTGGAAAACGTGTGTGACAAGTTCAATGCTAGCTATGGCTGCACTGAACTGCTCTGGGAGAAGGGAGTTCAGCAACTGCAGGTGGTACGTTCCAATGGTATACAGTCCTAGGAAAAAAGGAGAATTTATAAGTGTCTGAAGTTCCTGTGAATAACCTAATACACAGGGGATGACCATTGTGTGGTGTTCGGGAGAGGGGTGTCACATATTCTTCGATCGGGATAGCAACCAGAGCATGGTGATTATTGTATAAAAAAAGAAAAATCTAGCATTTACACCCCTGATTTCCAGGTTTTTGAAGCTTAAGGGAGTGAAGCATGTGATCTGACAATTATCTATCTTGATCCATCGGGCTGCTCTTCTTTGGACATTTTCAATATGATCTATTTGTATTTTGGTGTGTGGAGACCATACTTCGAACCATATTCAAACTGGGGTCTGACTGAGGTTTGGTATACAACGTACTAAATGGATGGGGATTTAGACCTTTATGTTTCTGCTAAGGAACCCTATAAGGTTTTGGTTTGATTTCTTGGATGTCCTATTTCTGTGGGCATCCTTTGTAAGATTTTCTGACTTATCCACTCATAGGTATTTCGCTGAAGCAACAGATTCTAATTGGACTTCAATCCATGAAGGTAGTATTGTGTCGGGATAGGATGTTCCTTTTTTTGGTGACATGGATAACTTGACACTTGGAGAGTTTAAATTCTATATAACACTCCAACTTTCCCTTTTCTTACAGATTTAGATTATTTTGGAGGGCGACTGATTGGTTTGCAGATGTCATAGCAATGTATTCTGCAGTATCGTCTACAAACAAGCAGATCTTGAATTTTATGTTTTGTGGGAGGTCATTTTATAAGTGCGAATCAAGAGGGGTCCTAGAACTTAGCCTTGGGGACGCCTGAGGATATTGGTATTGGGTTTGAGCTGCTGCATTTAATCACAACTGACTGCAGTCTATTATCTACAAAACTTTTGACCCATCTTAAAGTTTGACCGCTGATTCCATTTTCATGTATTTTAGCAGTACTTTTTCATGACTGACCTTATCAAAAGCCTTAATGAAATTTAAAGAATCTTGCTTTTTTCATAGACTGAGGTGACTAGGCCCTTTACCAACATATACGTAACACATGACATTTTTCCCTGAAACCATGGTGGAGGTGGTAAAGGATGATATGGTTGGTAAAATATTTGATAATGAAAGAGGAAACTTTGTAGTCCATAACCTTACACAAAACACATGTTAAGGAAATTGACCTATAATTTGCAAGTATTGACCTTTCGCCTCTTTTGAAAATTGGGGCTACAAATGCAGATTTCCATTGGGATGGTAAAAAGAATAAATCGAGATAGCTATTGGAAAATAACCTCTAGAATTGGAGAGAGCATTTAAAGAAATGTGTTGAGAATGATTGGTTTTATTTCATCCAGACCAAAGGCTTTATGAGAGGTTAGGTCATTAAGACGTTTCTCAATCCCCTTTGCTCCTATTTGGATATCTGACAAAGAATGGACGGATTGACCATGCTAAGGTGACAGGGGAGATTTGGGGCTAAATACTGACTGAAATGTTTATTTAAAGCTGTAGCCTTTGAGTCATCATCATGGTGAAATTCATTTTCATACTTTGATGTGGGGACAGCAGATGTTTCTTGTTTTGACTGTTTAATAAAGGAGTTCAGCATTTTAGTGTTGGGTTTGATACCATTTTGGGCATCGATCAGTGTTTCTTAAATTTAGGATGTCTTCAAGATACTGTTGATAAGTCTCTAAAAACCACTTCTCTGCACTAGTTAAATGTTTTACGTCAAATAACTGTTAACAATAAGAAAATGATCCTGATTTTATAAATCTTTTAAAGGCCCGGCTTCCTATTTTGATCAGTCTCTTTTGACATATCAATTTGATTGACCTAGGGAAGGTGATCCCAAATGAAAGAGTTTTTTCCAGATGGAATCTTTTTTCAGTAAGAGATCTCAATTAAAAGTATCAGAGAAATTTTCCCATTACTCCTCTATACTGTATTTTGTGCAGAATATTTCCCATCTGTGCTTAGTTTAGTTTAGTTTAAACATATTTTATTCCTTTCAATTTTTACAATATGTACAATGCAAATATATAGAAAGAAAAATATATAAATACATATAAATCTGTGCTCTTTTCATAACTTTACCACACAGCTAAATTACAAGTCTACGAGATTGCATAAATAATTTTATGACTACTCAGTACAGTAGAGCGATAAATAAATAAATAAATAAATAAATAAATAAATAAATAAATGAATTTTAATAAATAAATAAATAAATAAATGAATGAATGAATGAATGAATGAATGAATAAATAAATAAATAAATAAATAAATAAATAAATAAATAAATAAAAGGATATTACAGTAGATCTTACTGGGTTGCGCCAAATTAACTCCGTTGCGTATATTAGTCAACAATCCGGGTAAGTCAATCGGGTTGACATCGGCTATTTTCCTTAACCAAAGACTGACGGAAAGGGCCGAAATGTTGCGACTGCGGATGAGGCCAAAACATTGAATAGTTATTATTTTTAATACCTTTAAATACTCGTATATTGTATACAGGTTTTGTAAAGTAAGTAGCTACAGAGTGGGTTTATCATAATTTTAATTTGAGCCTTGACAAAACATAAATTCATAGACCTGAAAAAGGAAACATTGTTTATCAGTTTTATTTATCTGTTTATCAGTGTTATATATCTAGAATCGATAAGAATTCTAGATACTAGAATCGAGATCTAACTTGATAAATGTACATGATAAAGTTAATTTCCTTAAAGAGATAACCCTGATCCAAAAATATGACGGTAATATTGACAAAACCTAACACAGTGACTGTTTATTTTTACTTTATAAGAAGAATTAAATGTACTTTATATGAGTTGAATCTACCTGGTCCTGCCACACCCATTGACCCCCAGGTCAAACTCACTATAGGAGCTAACAGCCTTTAATAACAAAACATCAACTGACCATTCAGTTACTGTCAATAGGGCTTTTACATAGAAATATCACATTTTGCTTGAATATGCACAGTTGTCGTAGACTGGCTTCCAAAACTTTATAAGCTGCATTATATAACATTTTTGTTTTTTTATCTGATGCAGCATGTCATAGTATATGGTACCCCACAATACTGGTAGATCCATGGTACCGGTGTATTCATATATCTCGCGATATTATCGTGATAGCGTCACCTGCCAACTGTTTACATTGACATTTTAAAACATTTTTGTGACGTTTCTGATGAAAATAATTCACATATCCTTTCTTTTTTTCCATTTATTATCCTTTTCCACCATTGCATACATAGGTGTTTCTACAAACACTTTTTTTCAAACAAACAGAATAAATTAAATAGAAAAATCTTGTCTGGTTTTCACAGATAGAACTGCTTGTTGGATTTCCACCAAAATTCAAAGGAGTTGAGTACCATATCCCTTGTTGTGCTTATCACGCCATTTTCCGCTTTGCTGCACTAAATAGCCTTTAGAGCTATCAATAAAAAAATCTTGTCCAGGTTTCACAGGTCAAGCTACTGGTTGGATTTCAATGAAACTTCACATGAGTGACCATACATAGTTTTGGGGCGACATATATTTTGTAACAAAAATCTTTCTTGTTGAAATTATCTTTCAATGTATCAATACAATTTTATACATAACATTAACAATGTACAGTCCTAGTTCTGCCAGCACGCAGTCTGTGCATGTACCAGGCCTCGACATTAGCGGTGGTCCGTTGGTCCGAGACCACCTGATTTTGGCAAGGACCACCTAATTTTACAGGCAACTGGTCCGTTAGACCACTTGAATTTTCCAAATGGTGCAGGGCTAATCTGGGAGAATGGTTATTTGGTCGGAAAACGTGTTCTATAATTGTTGTTTAAAACCATTTCTCCTATGTACAGGTATATGTTCATTCATCTCATTAGTTCCATATAACTTTTTATCAACTCGCTAACACTGTAGTTAAAAAAGTAGAAAATTATTTTAATAATTAAAGTATAAAATTCATTGAAATGTCTCTAGTGCTGCATTTAATTTATAACATTATATCACTATGGGATATCGGATAAACACATGAATAATGGTGCAAACAAAGGCAAAGGAAAAATTAAATATCTAATAACTTTGGCTACTCTTTAAACGATCAGAGATCCATTTTTTTCTTATTTAAAGTACTTTGAAAGGTTATAAATACTTTGTCAAAAATAAATAAATTTCAACAAACAAGCATGTATAATAAATCTGTGAGGAAGATAAGCTCAATAATAATGTAGGAATTTTTCTGTTTATCATTAATATTTCATTGTTTCAAAGACAAGAATATAATAACTTAATAGTTTAATTAAAAATGCTAATCTATAAAAAGCAATTATTATTCTTATCAGATGTACCAGGAAACAGCAATGAGTATTTGAATAACAGTAAGGAAATAAGTCATTCACAAATGGTTTCACTATTCCCTAACTTGATTTGCGGAAGAAGTCACTTAACCGAAGTATGAGTACTGTCATGTATTTTTTAATGAGATAATAAATACTAAATAGGATTACAATGACTTACTATCTGATTAGATTGAAATAGAAAAAATACATGTATTCTTCAGTTGTTATAAATCTAATTATAAATATGTCTCTGTCACCAATTTTAAGTGTAGTTCTTCTAAATCTGAAGTTTCCTTAAAAACAAATGAGTAAAAAAAAGATGGACCACCTGTGTTCAGAAAGGACCACCTGAATTTTGGATCAAGTGGTCCGGCATAGCACCTGCTGAAAAAGTTAGTGTCGAGACCTGCATGTACTAATCTAAATATACATGTTATAAACACACGACGCCAGTGTAAGTGAGAATGCGTTTATTAACGGGAAACGTGAAACGTCAAACGTGGAACGTCAAACGTGGAACGATTCTCTGTACAAAAGAGAATAAAAATAAATCATTACATAAAATACAAAGATAATTACATGTATATCAAAACATAAAAATAAACGTACGATCATCAATCAAAACATTTGTATTTACCTCTCAAATAAACTAAACATATTTTACTTAAATAGAGATCTAATTACAGTACACTTAAATAATCTTATTTAAGATACATTCAATAAAATCCTAATATAAATTATCATTTTTAAACAAATAAATAAACATACCAACTATTGCGGCGTTTTAAATGTATCGTCGTGATGCTTATAAACTGTATGAACGTGTTTAAATTTGTTATGATCATTGCATTTCCGCCCAGATAAAATATGACGTAACGCGGCGTCTTAAGCCGCGCCAAACGTTAACGTTAAATTTGGTAACAAAAATATCAGTAAATAAGAAAACGATATTATGTGAATAAAAAAGATGTAAGAAAGAGAAAAAATGTAACTATGTAACACAATATATAATGTTAATCTTAATAAATTCAAAGAAGAATTCAATACTCCCCTCCATGAAATAATTACTATTTCGTAACAATAAATAATTTATAAACAAACATACAAATACACTTTTGTTAATGATATTGTATGAATTACTATAATTTCAATAAATCAACTAACAAATTTATTTTAGGCAAAGTATCACTTATTGATATAAACTTAATTACAAGCATTTTCAATCAAAATTCAATTAATTTCCAATTAACAACACAAATATGTGTTAGATATTACATGTATATAAATCTAGCTTTCATCTTACTCTATAAACGTAAATTAACGTTTAACTTTTTTGCACTTAAACGAGATTTACTTTTAACAAAACATTGGCTAATTATTGCCATATTCTTTTCTACGTAAAGATACGTGCTTACATTAAATTTATATTGTTCTTTTTATCATTCTGAACCTTCTAGCAAACACAGCTTTGTTACTGGTTTTACTAATTCTGAACCCCGTGCCCTAACCACACAGCTACGTACATGACCATCTCGGCTTTTTATTACTTTCATTACTTTGCCCAGAGGCCACTGTCCTCTTGGCATGTTTTCGTCTGCTACCAGCACGAGATCACCTTCGACAACGTCTCTGGTTGATTTCTGCCACTTCTGGCGGCATTGGAGAGATGGCAAATACTCGCGTGTCCAACGCCTCCAAAACACATCGGCCATATACTGAACTTGGCGCCACCAACGTTTAGCATACTGGTCTTCTTTTCGGAATACACCTGGCGCAAGGTTAACTACGGATTGCGCTTTGTCATAGTCAGGAATAGTGTCAAGAACGGCTCTGCTATTAGTGATCCACTTAGTAAGTCGAAAACCACCTTTACTCATGTTTGACTGCAAATCACGAACTAAATTAATTGCCTTCTGTTCATTGTCTACTGACTTTAAGCAATCATCAACGTAGAAGTTTCGTTTAATTGTTGTCACGACTTCCGGTTCGAACAAGTGCGCATGATCTTCAGCGGTCCTTTTCAACGCATAAGCTGAGCAACTTGGAGATGATGTTGCACCGAAAAGGTGAACTTGCATACAATATGTATTTGGAATTATCGTCATGTCCCCATTTGGCAACCATAGAAATCGCAGAGCATCGCAATCACGTTCAATTACTCGCACTTGGTGAAACATCGCTTCGATATCAGCCATAAGTGCAATATTATCTTGTCTAAAGCGCGTTACTACACCAACTAAACTATTCATTAAATCGGGTCCCTGAAGTAGTTGCTTATTCAAAGATGTCTTTTTATATTTTGCCGCGCAATCGAATACTACTCTTACTTTGCCTGGTTTGTTTTCATTAACTACAGGGTGATGTGGGAGATACCAAACACGACCTGGGGTGTTCTCATTGTTGACTAATTTTGCATAACCTTTCTCAATGTATTCCGTCACTGTCGTAGTATACTTTTCATGAAGATCTGGGTCACGTGACAGTCTTCGTTTTAAGTGCTGCAATCGTATATGTGCAAGAGGTAGGTTATTTTGTAACACTGTATGTTCATCTCGCCATGGTAGGCCCATTTTATAATGTCCATCAGGCTCGTGAACCAAAGTTGATTCCATAATTGTCATAGCCTTTCTATCTTCAACCGACATAGCCTTTTCTTCACAATGAATCGCATCAACAAAGTCTGTAGACCACATTTTTTCAAGTTGATTTTGAAGTGTGACGTCATCAGATTGGACATAGTGGATATTAACTGCGCTGCCTTTGTCAATAACGTCACTAATTGGTCCACGAACTGCCCATCCAAGACAAGTGCGAACAGCATATGGTTGACCACTTGCCCCCGCTCGCACCTCTAACGGAACATGCGCGTCCGGAGTATCCGTCCCAATAAGAAGCATGACGTCACTTACGTCAACGTTAGGAATTTCAATGTCAGACAGGTGAGGTATTTTACGAACCTGATCTCTTCTAGCTGCAGATTTAGTTGTAATCGGAAGTCTCTTTACTGTCCAAACACTCTTAAGATGAACATCATTGACACCGGCTACAGCTCGCACGTGCAAATTTACTTCCTGTCCAGATATTGTACTTCCGGTAGAACTTACAGTAGCAATATTGAATGACACTGGTTTTCCAGGTTGATTTAATGTTTGTAACAAACGCTCATCGCATAAAGTCTTATCTGCACCGTCGTCGAGAAGAGCATATGTCTTGCACGTGCTTCCGTTCTCGCTAGTGACCACTACGGGTATGATACCTAAGCATGCCTTGACACAGGAGCCGCTTGTAGCAGCACAATTTACTGACGGATGTGTAACTGTGTGGTCAGACCTAAACTTCGCCCAACTATGCAACAACGTGTTATGCTTTCCATTACAGTCGGGAACATTACACATATTTTTCCTATAACATGTATCAGTCATATGTTTGCCTTTAAGACAATTGTAACAAAGTTTGAATTTATTAATCAGTTTGCGCCTATCAGCCAAAGTTAATAAGCTAAACTTTTGACATTTTGACAAATCAGAACATGTTCCTAAGCAACAATAACATTTTCGTTCAATTCGGACTTTGTGCGTATCAGTATGAGTAGCAAATGTCGTTAATCTAGCCTTGTTATTGTTTTCAGACATTGAATTGGATGCTTTAATAGCTTTGGGTTGTGTATTTTCTTTAACAAGATCTAAGGCATATATAGAACAAGCAACTTGAGATTTCTCATTTACAAATTTTACTAAGTCAGAGAAATTTGGTTCCCTGCCAGCAATATTAATGTTGTGTGCTACATCAACCCATTTTGTTCTTAAGTGTAAAGGTAGCCTTTTAACTATACGCCTAAGATTTTCAGTATTATCAACATCTGAAACAAACCCTAACTGTGAAAGAGTTATCTCACATTTTTGCATATCTAAAGCAAGTTTTGAAAGACTATCACTATCACCAGACTTAATTTGTTGGCCATAAACTAATTTTTCAATATAAGATCTAGCAATAACATGAGGTTTACCATAACGAGTTTTCAATATTTCTCGTGCACGTGCGTAACCTACATCGGACTCTAACAACACACAATCTTCTATACAAGACTTTGCCTCGCCTGTACAATATTGTATAAGATAACTCAACCTAAGTCTGTTATCAAGAATCTTCGATTCAATGTTTGTTTCAAAATTCTTAATGAATTTACAATAATCTATGGCACTTCCGGTAAATGTCAATAACTCAGGTTTAGGCAAATTAAACCCTTCCTGTAATGTAGACGCTAGTCTGTTGAATGCCATGTCGATGCTACTGATATCGCTAGTCACCTTACCTTTGGTGTTGGTTCTATAGCTTACTGCTGTATCAGAAGTATCCATGGAAACGTCGCATACTGGTACTTGGTTTCCGGAAACCTCCCTCCTGTTACATAGATGATCATTGTCTGCATTAAGTCTTTCTTCGTTGTATCCGATACTACGCGCAGTACTGCTAAAGTCTTTATTTAACATCACATCCGGTATTTGTGAATGAACGACTGTCGTCATATGAATGTCGTCTGCACAGCTACCGCTGTTTATGTGTGTAGCGGTGTTGGTTTGTGGTATGTCAGTTGTTACCACCGGAGCCGGAAACATTGCGTCTTGCTGCCATACTGCCTCTTCAACCTGAGCTTGATCAATTTCACTTTGCACATCAAGTAATTGTTTACGTTCTTCAAGCTCCTCCCGTTCACGTTGTAACTTTCGTTGCTGTTTGTCAATGCGCTGCTTTTCTATCAAAGTCTTTAATTTCTGTTCAGCAACCAATTTCCTTGCTTTAGCACTAAGCATTTCAGAGCGTGACGAACGCACTGACGAATTATTCGTAACACGACTGTTCACTGAAATACAATCTTCTGTATTGTTCACAGATTTTTTCCACTCTGAGTAGCGTTCACTTAACTCAGCAAAGTTCTTAACTTGACTAGTAAAATTACTTTCCATTAAGTTCAACTTTTCTGTATCCTCACACATATCGATACATAGAATATGTGCTGCCTTGAAATGTTCATATTTCTCACAAAGTTTATTGTACATTTCATGTACTTTGTCGTAATTTTCTGATGATAACATTAAACGTTCCAGTTCATTAAAGGTTTTCGTCAGCTGACTAAGGTGTGCAGTTCGCGACTTCATCGCGTCAGGAAACCTTTTAGAATCCATTTCCACCTTCTGCTCAGTAGGTCTTTAACCTTCGACTTGACAGTTGTTAAACTCTAGTTGAGAATTATAAACACACGACGCCAGTGTAAGTGAGAATGCGTTTATTAACGGGAAACGTGAAACGTCAAACGTGGAACGATTCTCTGTACAAAAGAGAATAAAAATAAATCATTACATAAAATACAAAGATAATTACATGTATATCAAAACATAAAAATAAACGTACGATCATCAATCAAAACATTTGTATTTACCTCTCAAATAAACTAAACATATTTTACTTAAATAGAGATTTAATTACAGTACTGGTCGGAGACCATCAACCGGACACTTTTGGAACATTTTTCCGTACAGATTTCATAATTTTTAACATAGAGACCAAAAAATTTGACACAGTTCAGCTAGGTTCTTCTCCTAACTAATAAACTAGTTTGTTTATTTCTGATTTTATTGACAATTATATCTGAGGCTCAACAAGGAGGGTATCAAAATTACCTAAATTGTCTACACTACAGTACCATGTGTCCGGACAGATATGTACATGATGTGATGTAATTCAGATAAAAGCCTGGGTGTTTTGATTTTTGATTTGTAACATGATATACAATATGTCAGCAATAAATGCTGAAGTTTTGGATATTCTATTATTCACTTTGTAAATGATTATATCTGGTATATGAGGTCAGACATTGCTTTCTTGACCCCCGAATTTCAACGTTAACATTCTTGAAATAGACATTAAAATATTACCATTTACGGAGATTGAAATAAATTCATTTACTTAATTTTGAAAGAAACATGCACTTATTGCCTATAAAAAAGTGACTGACAACCACTGAACAAAGAAAATACTAAATTTAGCATTTTCGGGGCCGTCCGGGTTTGGTGGTTGTCCGGTTTTGGTGGTCCCCAACCAGTACACTTAAATAATCTTATTTAAGATACATTCAATAAAATCCTAATATAAATTATCATTTTTAAACAAATAAATAAACATACCAACTATTGCGGCGTTTTAAATGTATCGTCGTGATGCTTATAAACTGTATGAACGTGTTTAAATTTGTTATGATCATTGCATTTCCGCCCAGATAAAATATGACGTAACGCGGCGTCTTAAGCCGCGCCAAACGTTAACGTTAAATTTGGTAACAAAAATATCAGTAAATAAGAAAACGATATTATGTGAATAAAAAAGATGTAAGAAAGAGAAAAAATGTAACTATGTAACACAATATATAATGTTAATCTTAATAAATTCAAAGAAGAATTCAATACATGTTGTACATAATACTTTATTATACGTTATCACTGTGTATACTATAAATGAATGATCATTGTACACATACTCATAAACCCAGCCATCCACTCACTCATGCACACACACACGCACGTTCGCACACACACACACACACACACACACACACATGAATTCATATTTTGTTATATTCATTCATCATCATACAATTATGGGTAATGTTTTATTCATTAGGTATTCTCTCCTGGTTATACTGCCAACCAAAATAATTCTATAGAAAAAATTGTAAATAAGTAAAACTGAAATAGCTATCAAATTCACTGGAATTGCAATATATGTAACATTAAATACTTTGATTGCAAGGTTAAACAATACATCAATTTGATTTTTTAAAAGTAAAACTATTTAGTATATATCGCTTATTTTTTTCTTCTTATTTACACTTTACAGCAAAAACTTTTTTTATTTCTCTATTTATTTGGATAATGAATTTTGTAGCAGTGTTAATTTTAAAGTTAAAAAAAATAATAATGATAATTGAATAATGTTGTTGATGTAGCGTTTTATTGTTTCAGAAATGGCTGAATCAGAAAATGAAAACAGAAGTCTGGTAGGATCAGCAGACGACTATGATCACTGCTGTGAGCCATGTCTTACCACAAGTCACTGTGTAGAAGCCCACGGATATTGTGTCTTTTGTCAGGAATACCTTTGTAGTAACTGCCTTGAATGTCACAAAAAGGCCAAAATTTCCCGGAGTCACCAAATTCTAAAACAAGATGAATTTGATAAGCTCGAAACAATGCGAAAGGCATACAATGAATGCACTGAAAAATGTCCAGCTCATCAAAATGAAATAATTGAATTTTATTGTCCATCACACCATGCCCTGGGATGCAAAGATTGCATGTCAAATAGCCATGGTAACTGCAACATTGATTACATACCTGAACAATGTGTAGATATTGCAGATGGCAAAGAATTGGATGATGTCATGCAGAGGCTTAGTGAAAAGCTGAAAGAGGTACAGGAAATTTCTAAGAAGGCTAAAGGTATTGATAAGGTTATGAATGATTACAATGAAGAAATCGTAAAGGAAATCACAAAATTCCAAAAGGAAGTCAATGACCACATGATTCAGATGCAACAGGACATTCTAAATGATACTGAGGAAATCAAGTCCAGTAACAAAAGAATCGTTCAGAATGTGCTTGATAAATGTGAAAATACGTTTTCCAATGTTGTAAACTTGCAAGCAAGTCTACATGCAAGCAAATCAGTTCACCGGAATGGACAACTCTACATCGATATGAAGCGTGCCGAATCTGCCCTGAAATCAGATGCTTTAAATGATGCAAAAGAAACATTAATGAACACCAATGTGTGCTATTCATTTCAACGAAACGCTGACCTCGAAGCCTTATTGTCTAAGAAAATGGTCTTTGGTGATATAATAAATCCTTCTAGAGATGAATCTGATGAGACAAAATCTTTTGATCGTCTGGTTGCAAAAGAGAATATCAAAGTTATAACTGAATCAGATCGTAAAGAATGTATCATTACAGGATGTGCCATTCTTAACACAAATAAACTAGTTCTGGTTGATAACAACAACGACAAGGTAAAATTGGTATCATTAGAAGACAGACTGGTAGAAGAAGAGATAAGTGTAGACTTCTCACCATGGGGTATTGCTGTAATCTCGGAGAGTCAATTTGCTGTAACGTTGCCTTGGCACAATAAAATAACTGTAATGAGCGCAGAAGACAAGCTATCATGTGTGCGCAGTATAAAAGTGGATGGGAAGTGCTACGGTATAGGCTTCAACCAAGATCGCCTTTATGTTGCTTGCTTAGAACCTTCTAGTGTGCTTGTACTGAATACACAAGGTGATATCCTGAATAACATTACTTCAGACTGTCTTTCTGCTGACATTGTTCCGCATATTGCTGTCAGAATAGATTCCAAACGCCTGTTTTACAGTGACTATAAAAACAACAGTCTACTGTGTGTATCGCTGGAAGGGGAAGTTACAGCTGCATATAAACACGATGATTTTGAAAGTCCGAATGGAATGACGGTGTTAGATGACGGGTCGGTGTTTGTCTGCTCTTACAATGGAGCAATTCATCATGTGAAAAAAGGCCTGATGCAAGGAAAGGTCTTGCTTGAAGATGAAGTGAATGCGAAGTCAATATGTTACAGCCCATGCTATGATGAGGTCTATGTGGGATTCTATGGTAACAAGCTGAAGGTCTTTGACCCACAATCACCAAAGAAACGAATTGTCAGTTTGTTGGAAAAGTGAAATATAGTTTGGAATTGTTGGATAGGTATGATTCATTAAAGGAACTTTACTGAGCTCCAAAAGCCTAAAAATATAAAATTTAGAATTTGAAGTTTTCACAAAAATCAGGTGGCACAACTTAAATGGAAAAAAAAAACTATCAAAAAAGGTAATAACATGCTCCAAATGAGATGAAATAAATCTTTTGTTCAATACTCAGCCCTACTAAAAATAAAGCAATTTTAAGTCATTTTGCACAATTCTGGAGAAAACTGAGATAAGGAATGATTTGAAAATTTGCATACAAGTTATTGGTGTAGACCTACAGCAAATAACAAACATCTCAAAAAAATTCTCCCAGTTTGGTCTTGTCCAAAAAAATCTTTGTGGAGACCCTTTAATTTTTTTTTGTGGTACTTATTGATATGTATCAACTTGCATTCAAACTGATATGTTATTGAATTTAGCTCAATACAGGATTGGAGCAGTACCTCTAGACGCTTGCAGAAATCATGATCCCAAAATAGACAAATATCGTTTTTTTCGCCGATTTTTACATTTTTCCTTGATTATAGTACTTGATTCGGTGTGAAAAGATGATTTAGACCTGTTAAAGTTCATTCCGTTGGGTAAAAAGACAAGATTTTAGCATTTTATCATTCAAGCGCCTTGTCCGGTATATACCGGAATACGGTATTTAGTGTGGTGCTCCAATCCTTTTTTTAGTCACAGCCTATGTTATTAGATATTATCTATTGTATGCAACCTATAACTCATCACTTGTGATACTCGGTCAGTGTAAATTTTGTAGAGATTAATATTCTAATTCTTGGTACTTCACTGAAACATGTAGTCTTTATATAACATTATACATTTTAGGTTTACGGGTTAGCTTATGTTGACAAATTTTATTTGTTTTTATTAGCTCACCTGTCATAAAGTGACATGGTGAGCTTTTGTGATCACTTTTTGTCCGGCATCGGCTGCCATCTGTCTGTAAACTTACTTTAAACAACATCTCCTGAAACTAATTATTTTAAAATATCTTCTTTAAAAAAACCCAAAGAGCTAGACCTTAGACATTTTCTAGTGAGTCCAGTGAGTGTCTACCAAGTTTGAACAAATCTAAGCCTTTGGGTCAAAATTGGCTCCGCCCGGGGGTTATTGATTTTCCTTATATGTATATAGTAAAAATTTATAAATTTTCTTTCAAAAAACCCAAATAGCTGTTAGTTAGATATTAAGGCAAGCATGAAACATCTTCTAGTGAGTGTCAAACAAGTTCGATCAAATAAAAGTCCTGGGGTCAAAATTGGCCCTGCCTCAGGGGGTCATTGATTTTCTTAATACATACATGCAGGTATGTATATAATATACGTACCTGATACATGTATATAGTAAAAACTGAAAAAATCTTCTTTTAAAAAACCCAAAGAGCTAAAGCTTAGATATTTAGCACAAAACATCTTCTAACGGGTGTCTACTAAGTTTGTTCAAATTTGCAATGCCCTGGGGGCCTATATTCAGGTGAGTGATTTCAGGGCCATCAAAGCCCTCCTGTTTGGTAATTTACATTGGTTGTCAAGTGCCGTTTGCAATGTGAATATTATTTTCTTTGTCTGCTTCACAATATTTTACATTTAAATAATACGTTTCAGAATTATCATGAAAATTAACACGAATCTCTAGGCGTTGGCTTTAATAAAGTCTTCTTAGCTCAAGCTGATCATAGATGTGCTTTTGTGATGCTTATATGTTGGTCATTCATTACATTCTATAATTTCTATCAATACAAAATCACAAGGTAGATTTTGACCAAACTTCACATGGTAGCCCTTTCTCAAGTCGTATGAAATATTCAGTCTTATATGTATGTTATATCTTAAAACACTTAGGGGTTTCTTAATTTGTATAGACTTATATAGAGGACACATTTTAAAAAAATTAAGTGCATTTGTGATAAACTATTATACTCAAGGCATAAATATTTGGTATGTTACAATAAGTATTGCTTTGTGAACCTCTTGAGATTTACATAAATGAGCCGCGTCACCACAAAACAACATAATGGGTTTGCGACCAGCATGGATCCAGACCAGCCTGCGCAGTCTGATCAGGATCCATGCTATTGGCTATCAGTTTCTCTACTTGTTAAGGGTTTGTAAGAGAACAGCATGGATCCTGATCAGTCTGCGCAGATGCACAGGTTGCTCAGGATCCATGCTGGTCACAAACCCATTATGTTGGTTTTGTCATGATGTGGCTCGTTAATCATTTTCTTTAGTCAAAAATGGCCCAGATATGGAGGTCACCTCGATAATATAGAGATATAGTATAAGTAAACATGTCTGACTAATCTTCAACATGGTAACTAAAATGCCTGGTGCAAACATATTTGGCTCATAGCATCAACTTGTTGTATTTAACATAGGTCTATTAATCGTTTCCCTCCCTGGAGGTCACTTAGTTTATATAGACTTAGACTTCTATTAATATTTCATAAATTATTCAGCTGGGGTGATGCACCCAGCTTGACCTAGTTTCTTGATGCATTGAAGAATTGTGTCCTTTTCTAGCAATGTTTCTTGGACGGGCAATGCAGGGTCATCATGACCCTCTTGTATTATGATAGAGCTAGTATCGTTCAGAGCTGTTGGTCTCTTTGATCATTGCCTTGGGTAATGGTGCTAGAAAAAGATGAATGCTTAAATAGCCTTGATTTGACAAATGTGCAATTTTGCGAGCATACGTGTCTTTGGTGTTATGTCTTTTCTAGCATTGTTAATTAGGTGAGCGATCCAGTCTTGTTTTTTACATTATCAAGGCTTTTAACATATCTTTGCAAAAGAAATCATTAACAATGTAAACAATGTGTTCAGCTGATAGTAATGGGACATATTTGAATATGTTTTACTGGTTGTTTGCTCAAACTTGAATATGATATTCGAGCCGCACCATGACAAAACCAACATAGTGCCCTTATGACCGGCATGGATCCAGACCAGCCTGCGCATCTGTGCAGTCTTATCAGGATCCATGCTGTTCACTATCAGTTTCTCTACTTGTAATAGAGTTTGAAAGCGACCAGCATGGATCCTGATCAGACTGCGCAGATGCGCAGGCTGGTCTCTATCCATGCTGGTCGCAAACGCACTATGTTGGTTTTGCCATGGTGCGGCTCAATTTTATAATACAATGTGATATCAACATGTTTTTAAACTTTATATTAGTGAACTGTATATAAAACTGTTTTTATAGTTCGATACCTTTACAAGATATTTATTACATTATATTTATTGTCCTTAATTATTAAAATTTCCTTGTGACCATGTTAAGCACTATGTTAAGCATAACGAGTTATTTTATATATTGCAATTATATGTATATAAGCTTCCTCATACTAAGGACTTGTAGTGGCATTTTATCTTCATGAATTCACTGATGCAGCTACAAAAGTGCCGATTTCAGCTAATGGTTTCTACTTAATGCATTACTGTTTTCACAATGTCCGCTTCTTAAATTTACATTTTCAACTTCAGTTTTTCAGGATTTCAACTTCACAAATTCATGTTTTCATGATTTTAACTTCATTAAGCTCAACTTCATGTGTTCATGATTTAATTTTATGAATTCATAACCAAGAATTCTTTTAGTTGAAATCATGAATTCTTCAGTTGAATTCCTATAGTTGGAATTGGGAATTCATAAAGCTGAATTTTAATGCTACCCGAAGGGTGAGCATATAGTCTGAAACCTTATATAAATCTGAAACTATAAGACATATCAACATGAAACTTTGTAGAAAGATTGATCTCATTAAATAGAAGTGTAGTGCAAAAGAACCTTAACTCTGCCTTGCCTAATTTTGGAGTTATTGCCCTTTGTTCATTTTTACACTTTGAACTTTGTCTGTGACATAACTCTGACACTACAAGAGCTATACTTTCCTGTCTCCAAAACCTATTCAGGTTGCATCACCCTGTTTAACCGGTTCTTGTTTCAGTTGAAATTAAAAATTCTTGGGAGTTGACATTGTGAATCCCAAAGCATGAATTTGTGAACCTGAACTTATGAAAGTAAATCCCATGAATTTTTTTTGTGAAGATGAAATGAAGAAATTAAGTGGAAATCGTAAGATCATGAATTCTATAGGTTAAATAAGCAAATTAATGAAGTTGAAAATGTGTATTCTTGAAGTTTGATAAATTCGTGAAGTAAATATAACCCTACCAGTTCAACTTTTATATGATCCGTATCACGACAAAACCAACATAGTGCGTTTGCGACCAGCATGGATCCAGACCAGCCTGCGCATCCGCACAGTCTGATCAGGATTCATGCTGTTCGCTATCAGTTTCTCTATTTGTAATAGGGTTGGTAAGCGAACAGCATGGATCCTGATCAGACTGCGCGGATGCACAGGCTGGTCTTGATCCATGCTGGTCGCAAACCCATTATATTGGTTTTGTCGTGACGCGGCTCAAATGTTTTAGATGTGTATTTTTCCTCCAGTTAATAAAATTTACCACATTTTTAATTGAGTTATTTCTCATTATGATTATAACAAAGATCCAGCTATTTAGGAAATAAAGTAATTTAAGAGTTAGTTGCATTACCAACTTGACAAGTTAAATTATGAAGTTAAAATTGTAAAATGTATTCGCCAAAGAAATGACTTCATCTATGAATCAGACTTTGAACAAATGCATGTAATTAAGTTAAACATTTATTTTTCGTAAATATTGCTTATTATCATCAATGTATACCTATTGGATAAAGTTCAGTATACATGTATTTGATACTGTATTTCAGGGTGAACATAAAAAGTATGTGTACATCTTAAATTATTATTTACTCAAATGAATGGAGACATAATATTTAATGTCGGCACAACTTGACATTTGCTTATATTGCCTTTATTTACAACTTGTGCCTTTCTTATTATCCCTCGCCGATGGAATCGGGAGGGGGATATAGTTTTGGCGTTGTCCGTCCGTCCATCCGTCCGTCCGAATTTCGTTTCCGGAGTAGTTCTCTGCAACTACTGGCTGGAATTCAACGAAACTTTATGGGAATCATCAATATCAAGAGGAGATGCGCATATCGTCGGCTTGTTCCGGTCAGACACTTTAACTCTAGAGTTATGGCCCTTGATTAGTTATGCAGTATGCATATGGAGTAAAATCGTTTCCAGAGTAGTTCTCTGCAACTACTGGCTGGAATTCAACGAAACTTTATTGAAACCTTCAATACCAAGAGGAGATGCGCATATCGTCGGCTTGTTTGGGTCAGACACTTTAACTCAGAGTTATGGCCCTTGATTAGTTATGCAATATGCATATGGAGTAAAAATTGTTTCCGGAGTAGTTCTCTGCAACAACTGGCTGGAATTCAACGAAACTTTATGGGAATCATCAATATTAAGAGGAGATGTGCATATTGTCGGCTTGTTCTGGTCAGACCCTTTTACTCAGAGTTATGGCCCTTGATTAGTTATGTAGTATGCATATAGAGTAAAAATCGTTTCCGCACTACTTCTCTGCAACTACTGGCTTGAATTCAACGAAGCTTTATGGGAACCTTTAATACCAAGAGGAGATGCGCATATCGTCGGCTTGTTCGGGTCAGACACTTTAACTCAGAGTTATGGCCCTTGATTAGTTATGCAGTATCCATATAGAAAATTATTTGTTTCCTCGCTACTTCTCTGCTACTACTGGCTGGAATTCAATGAAACTTTATAGGATACTAAGAGGAGATGTGCATATAGTCGCCTTGTTCCAGTCAGATACTTATAACTCAGATTTATGGCCCTTGATTAGTTATGTAGTATGCATACATCTCATTGGCATTTCCAGATTTTACTATTTAACACAAAGTTATGGCTCTGTTATTGCCCTGAATATTTATCAAGTTCAAAGAATATTACTGTTTATGCCATGACTAATATATGAATAAAGCCTTATGTCTTCAGTTGTTGTGTTAATAATAACCAGTACTCGGCGGGGGATATAAATTCAATGAATTTGCTTGTTCAGTACTTAATTATTCGATTTGGTTCTTTAACTTTGGTTGGAAGATAAATTGTCACCGAGGTCAATGTCAAGGTAACCAGACCAATAAAAAAAAAAACGATTTTCGCAAGTTTGTTCAATAATTCACAGTTGACCGCAGAATTGCAGTAACTTTTATAAAATCAAGGACTTGCAACAAACCTCATCATACATCCTTTATTAAATGACTCATGTCAGTAAAATATTGCTGAATGCCAAGTAACTTTGGATTGAGTTAGGGATTACTGGGGTCTAGGTCACTGCTGTTAGAACTAGATTTTTACACTTTTACTCTTACAGCCTTTATTGTCTTGTATGCGTATTAAGTATGAATTGACAAATGTTCAGGTTAGGAAAGCATCTGTCGCCATAAACAATATACTAGTTTTATCATGATGTGGCAATTCCCACATAAACCTAAAAAAAATCCACATTGACCATCAGTTTCCACTTAAATTAACGGTTTATGCGGTGCCTTTCTTTTTTAACTAGGATAATTGACTGATTATCACTCATTTTGTAAATAAAACACCATATCAGTGTAAAGCTATGCCAGAATTAAGCCGTGTCATGACATTTCCTACATAGTGGTCATATGACGTAATCATAGAAACGTTACGTCAAAATTGAGGTCAATTTTAATGTTCCCGTAAGGGTGAGCATATATATAGTCGCCGCTTTGTCTGTCCGTCCGCTTTTTCTCGTCCAGGACATAACTCTGAAACAACAAGAGGTTTCAAGATGAAACTTTGTAGGTAGATAGATCTCTTTGGGTAGAAGTGCAATGCACAAGAAAGGTTACTTTGCCTTGTCAAATTTTGGAGTTATTGCCTTTTGTTCATTTTTACACTTGGCGCATGACTCTAAAACAATAGGAGATATCAACATGAAACTTTGTAGGTAGATAGATCTCATTGGGTTAAAGTGCAGTGCACAAGAACCGTCACTCTGCATTGCCTTATTTTTGAGTTATTTTCCTTTGTTTATTTTTACACTTTTAAACTTTGTCAGAAACATAAATTTTAAACTATAAGAGATATCAACATGAAACTTTGTAGGTAGATAAATCTCATTGTGTAAAAGTGCAGTGCAAAAGAACCATAACTCTGCCCAAATTTTTCAACTTTTGGACTTATTGCCCTTTTTAGCTCACCTGTCACTGTGTGACAGTGTGAACTTTTGTGACCGCTTTTCGTCCGTCCGTCGTCCGTCCGTCGTCCGTAAACTTTTACTTTAAATGACATCTCCTCATAAACCACTAAGCCAATTTCATCCAAACTTCACAGAAATGTTCCTTTGGTGGTCACCTTTGAAAATTGTTCAAAGAATTTAATTCCATGCAGAACTCTGGTTGCCATGGCAACCAAAAGATTTTTTTTTAAATATCTTCTTCTAAAAAACCCAAAGAGCTAGAGCTTAGATATTTGGCATGAAACATGTTCTAGTAAGTGTCTACCAAGTTTGTTCAAATAAAAGCCCTGGGGTCAAAATTGGCCCTGTCCCAGGGGGTCATTGATTTTCCCTATATGCATATAGTAAAAACTTAAAAAATCTTCTTTTAAAGAACCCAAAGAGCTAGAGCTAAGATATTTAGCATGAAACATCTTCTAATGGGTGTCTACCAAGTTTGTTCAAATAAAAGCCCTGGGGTCAAAATTGGCCCCGCCCCAGGGGGTCATTGATTTTCCCTATATGCATATAGTAAAAACTTAAAAATCTTCTTTTAAAGAACCCAAAGAGCTAGAGCTAAGATATTTAGCATGAAACATGTTCTAATGGATGTCTACCAAGTTTGTTCAAATAAGAGCCCTGGGGTCAAAATTGGCCCCGCCCCAGGGGGTCATTGATTTTCCCTATATGAATATAGTAAAAACTTAAAAATCTTCTTTTAAAGAACCCAAAGAGCTAGAGCTAAGATATTTAGCATGAAACATGTTCTAATGGATGTCTACCAAGTTTGTTCAAATAAGAGCCCTGGGGTCAAAATTGGCCCCGCCCCGGGGGACATTGATTTTCCTTATATGTGTATAGCAAAAACTTAAAAATCTTCTTCGAAAAAACCCGAATAGCTAGAGTTTAGATATTAAGCATGAAACATCTTCTAGTAAGTGTCTACAAAGATTGTTCAAATAAAAGCCCTGGGGTCAAAACTGGCCCTACCCCAGGGGTGTCATTGTTTTTAACTCTATGTGTAAAGAAAAAACTTAAAAAATCTTCTTTTAAAATATTATAATGGGTGTCTACAAAGTTTGTTCAAATAAAAGCCCTGGGGTTTAAACTGGCCCGCTCCGGGGGGCCTATATACAGGTGAGCGAATATAAGGCCATCATGGCCCTCTTGTTCATTTGTACACTTTGAACTTTGTCTGGGATATAATTGTGAAGCTACAAGAAGTATGAACAATGAACTTGGTTGGTGGATAGAGCTCATTGAGTAAAAGTGCAGTGCAAAAATCAGAAACTCTGCCTTGCCTAAGTTTGGAATTATTGCGCTTTCAACTTTGTTTGGAACATAACTCAAACCTAGAAAGGTATATTTTTTCTGTGTCCAAAACCTATTCTGGGAGCATTACCTGGTTCAACCGGCTCTTGTTATACCCCGAACGAGGTTGTGAGGGGGTATACTGGAATAAGCTTTTCCGTCCTGCCGTCACGGCCCGTCCAGCCGCCTGTCCGTCAGTTTTTCCTTGTCTGCCCAATAACTTAAGATTCCTTTGACCCACAGTCTTCATATTTGGTATTTAGATTGGTCATGATTAATAGATGATCTCTGTTGATTTTGAGTACACCAGTTCAAAGGTCAAGGTCACAGGGGCCTTGACTTAAAAAAGCTTGTCCGCCCAATAACTTAAGATTCATTTGACCCACAGTCTTCATATTTGGCATTGAGGTTAGTCATGATTAATATATGACCCCTTTCGATTTTTAGGTCGCTGGGTTGAAGGTCAAGGTCACAGGGGCCTTAACTCAAAAAAGCTTGTCCGCCCATTAACTTAAGATTCCTTTGCCCACAATCTTCATATGTGGCATAGAGGTTAATCATGATTAGTAGATGAATCATATTGATTCTGGGGTCACTGGGTGAAAGGTCAAGGTCACAGTGACTTTGACTCAAAAAGTTTGTCCGCTTAATAACTTAAGAAACCTTTGACTCACAGTCTTCATATTTGGCATGGAGGTTGATCATGACCATTATGTGACCCCTATTGATTTTGAAGTCACTGGGTCCAAGGTCAAGGTCACAGGGGCTTTGACTTAAAAAGCTTGTCCTCTCAATTGCTTCAGAATGCTTTTGTCAACAGTCTTCATATTTGGTATTGAGGTTGTTTATGACTAGTAGATGATCCCTTTTGATTTTTAGGTGACTGTGTCAAAGGTCAAGGTCATAGGGATTTTTGCTATTTTAAGCTTGTCTGCTCAAAAGCTTAATAATGCCTGTCCGCAGTGTCTTGATTTAGAGATTTTCACATTTGAAGTATGTAGAA